TTTCCATCTTTGTCTTCTTTCCCTCCCTTTTCCCCCCCGTACCCTCGCCGCCCAACAAGAACCCCTCCATATCCCAATCACGCATTTCGACCTCATGTCGCTGCCAACCCGCCCTTCCCTGCCGACACGAACCACTGGATGGCCGCCATGTTTCTCGCATACATGCCACCGACGACGACGTATAGTTCGAGGCTAAAATCTCCGCAGGGCAAAGTAGCCGAGCTACGCCTCGAGCTGAACAGTGGAGGAAAGAAGGACAAGAACTATTCGTCCAAGAAGATTGCGCTCAAGAAGATTGTCGCCAACATGACAATGAGCAACAATGATATGGTGGCTCTGTTCCCTGACATCATCGGATGCATGGGTATCCAGAGCTTGGAAATCAAGAAGATGTAAGTCTTTTTGGGTTTGGAAACGGTCTATTGCTGACAGATTGAAGGTGCTTCTTATTCTTGGTCAACTACGCAAGAATGAGACCTGAAATTGCCGTCAAGGCTATCCCTGTGTTGGAACATGTTAGTCTACCGAGTTCTGATCACCGAGTAGAAACTAACCATAACCCAGGATATGGAAGACCACAACCCCCTAGTGCGAGCACTGGCTCTTCGCACAATGTCCTATATCCATGTGCGAGAGTTTGTCGAGGCGACTGTACCGCTGGTCAAGCATATGCTCAAGGACGGTGACCCCTATGTTCGAAAGACGGCGGCGTTTTGCGTGGCGAAGCTTTATGATCATGATCGACATATGGTGGAGAATTCAGATCTTATTGACCGCCTAAACTCTCTACTGAGAGATGATAACCCTACGGTAGTCGCAAGTGCGTTGGCTGGTTTAATGGATATCTGGGAACGCAGTGATGCCATTAAGCTTACCATCGACTATAACAATGCCTCCAAGATGGTGGCCATTCTCCCTGACTGTTCTGAGTAAGTCAGCTAATTGTTGAAGAGAATATTGCTAACTCATGGAAACAGATGGGGTCAGACGTATATCCTCGAGGCCCTCATGTCATACGTACCACAGGAATCTGGAGAGGCGGTATTGTTGGCCGAGCGGATATCTCCACGACTCTCGCATTCTAATTCGTCCGTCGTGTTGACCTGCATTCGGGTGATTCTGTATCTGATGAATTATATCGCCGACCAAAAGCAGATCTCGGCTCTCTGCAGGAAACTGTCGCCCCCTCTGGTTACACTTCTTGCCAAGGGGCCCGAGGTCCAGTATCTGGCTCTTCGAAATGCCCTTCTCATTCTCCAGCGACGACCAGAAGTCTTGCGGAATGACATTCGAGTCTTTTTCTGCAAGTACAACGATCCCATCTATGTCAAGGTCACCAAGCTTGAACTCATCTTTATGCTCGCCAACGAGGATAATATCGATGAAGTCTTGACAGAACTGCGCGAGTACGCCACCGAGATTGACGTTCACTTTGTGCGCAAGGCGGTGCGTGCGATTGGAAAGCTTGCCATCAAGATTGAGCCAGCAGCGCGACGGTGTATTAACCTGCTCCTTGAGCTTGTGGCAACCAAGGTCACGTACATTGTGCAGGAGGCCACAGTGGTTATCCGAAACATCTTCCGCAAATACCCCAACCAGTACGAGTCTATTATCAGCACCTTGTGCGAGCACCTCGACTCCCTGGACGAGCCTGAGGCGAAAGCGGCTATGGTGTGGGTTATTGGTCAGTACGCGGATCGAATCGAGAACAGCGATGCTCTGCTGGAAGACTTTTTGTACTCGTTCGCCGAGGAGCCAGTCGAGGTCCAGCTGGCCTTGCTCACGGCGACAGTGAAGCTCTTTATCCAGCGACCAACCAAGGGACAAGAGCTGGTGCCCAAGGTCCTGAAGTGGGCGACGGAGGAGACAGACAACCCTGATCTTCGAGATAGGGCGTATATGTACTGGCGGCTTTTGTCTACGGATATGAACGCCGCGAGGCAGATTGTGATGGGCGACAAGCCAGCGATCACGGCCGAGTCGGAACGACTCGACTCGGCAACGTTGGAGGAGATGTGTCTCAACGTGGGAACTCTGGCGACGGTGTACCTTAAGCCGGTCCAGACCGTCTTCAGATCGGCGAGGCCCCGGAAGCTTCAGGACTCGCCGGCCCTGCAGAAGCAGAATCTCCTCGTGGCGGCGGACAGTCAGAAGAGCATCAGTATGTTTGGACACGCCGCGCAGCCGACGGACATGGACCCCAGAAGCCGGACTGCAATGACGAGCAACGGTCAAGGGAACATTGCGCAGGCGGTCAACGATGCGGATGCATACTTCTCGAGCATCGGCACGCAACAGATGGCGTCAATGCGTATCGACCAAGGGGATGATGTGTTTGGAGGAGGTAATGGCCACTCGACCGGGTACGTGGTGAGCGCGCATGCGCCTCAGGCGGTTCTCCAACCAGCCCAGGGCGCAGGCAGTAATGGTGATCTTCTAGTGCTATGAGCGATATCTGAGTCAACTATCTAGCGACGGGAGGCATAGTGAGGATTCCAAGCAGTTCAAATAAACCAGTACAAAGCTAGCTCTGTGTTAGAGATCTTGTCAGAGCGCGTGTGTCTTCCTTTGAAGCGAACCTGAGACCATGTCTTATGGGCGCCCCTTGTCAAGATGATTCTCGACTCATGGCAGGAATCTCCGGAAGATGGCCCGGGAGACGGAGTGGGCTTGATTCGGTTTGGCTCAAGAACCTTAATCCAGATGTCCGTTTGGGGCGAAGCCAGCCATAGGGTCACACTGGCGAGATCTAGACTTGCCTCTTTGGTCGGGACATTGAGGCCAATTGAGGAGCATCAAGACCGAGATGAGCGAAATGGCGGAGAAACAGTCGCACGTATGGGTGGCCTCATGGCGCAGGTGAGGGGGGAATAAACCCCGAGATATCGGTGAGCGGTGTCGAGACCGTTTTTCGAGCGTGTTGCATGTGCGTCGTCCGCAAACGACTGTGGCGGGAAAACGCTGGGGCGGTTCCCTCCATCTTGGGGGCGAGATACGGTTCAGGAACAAGCCGACTCAGGAGATGGATCCATGCAAGTCAGTGTGAACTTGAGAGTCAAGTCGAGTTGAACTGCCCTTTACTTGTCTTGATCAGCTCTTTGTTAGCAAACCATCACGGAATAGCAGCAATGGCCGTTCGGGCATCAATAGCTCATCTCCGGGGGCCATGAACCTGGCCTAGAATCTGGTGATGGACTGAGCAGTGACCAGTAGTGCGAGTAGAACGGATCTTATCCGAGCAAACTGCTTCATTAGTTCTTCTCGAAAGTTCTGTTAGTGTAAACAGACGGAAGAAAGAGATCTCATTGATCAAAAGTAACGATAGATATCATAAGGGGCCAGCCATCATGGAAGAGAGGACGAACTCATGATGAATGGGGCGAATAGGAGACCAACCGGATGGAGGTCCATAAAGGGAAACACAATGGAACCAATGGTAGACTGTGTAACTGCTGTTGGGCAGCATCTCAGGTGTTCACTCCAGCAGGCCATGGACCGCCAAAAGCTTCGTCTCCAGGGGCAGCAAATACAGTGCGTATTCCGAAGACGCCAAGGGTCGATGGCTTGCCGAGGCTGGGGCTAGGCGAGCGGCCCATCCGGCTTCCGTGGCCCGTCAAACCACGGCCACAGCGGGCGGGCAACCACACGGGCAACGACTGGTGCCAGTGGTTCCTGCCGCAAGGCAAGAACTGAACCTAGACTTGCTGAACGGGAAGTACCTGCCCGTGTGGGCAAGGTACCTCGATGCCCGCCAACCGAACCAGAAGGTACCTGACTGTGTGTGCTTGGCCTCCTTCTTCGCTCCATCTCTTTGGGTCTGGGGAACTTTTTAGCCTCCCGTTCTATCCTCGCATCCGTCGGCTTCTTATCCCTCTCCCCGTTCAAATCTTGCTTTTGGTTCATCAAGAGACAGAGGCAAATTGGATCTCGTTGCTTCGTCGGCTCGAAGCATTTTTAAGCATCATCAGAGCGCCAAGCGTTCTTCCCCAGTCGTTTCAGCAATTACCCAGCATACTACGGAGTACGCTACGCGTACCAAACCACCCGCCCAAGCTTCAGAGAGTACCTCCCTCAGCGGTGTCGTCACTTTTACTCCCCGCCTGTACTTACTTTATCTTGGCTCTCTGTCCGACCTTTCTTGCATCCATTCAACGTCTCCTCCCCCCGTGGGCGCCAACGGTTTCCCCTCGTATCTCATCCGCCGACATCGACACCCCCAAGCAGCATAGCCCCCCTTTGCTCCTGCACCTCGCAGCCTTCCCATCGTGGGTTGCTTCGCCCTGGTCTTGGCTCTCGTCCTCGCCCCCGTCATCGCTGGTCGTGCCTCTCTCAGCGACTCAAGAGCCATCCCCAAGCCAAGGCTCCTAAGGCCAGGCCCCTCCCTGGGCCGTTCCTTGTCGGGCAAAGCGTCCATCGAGCGACTCCACCAAGAAATCCACTGCGTCGCACCGTACGCTCCACTTGGGTCTCCACGCTCCAGCCGCCTACCGCCTAGGGTTGCTTGCTTGACCTGCGCTGCGCTGCTTCGCTGCTACTGTCGCCTGCCTCTTCCTCTGCTCTGCGTCCTCGTGCGTTGCTTTGCTCTACACTCCGTTGCATCCATCCTGTCACAACTTGATCAAGCGTCTTGTCTGGTTGACAAGACTCCGGCCATTTCTGCCCCACCCCCGGTCTCCCGGCCCCCGGCCTGGTCGATCCATCCTCCCAAGGAACTTGACGTCTTTCACTTTTAATTCCGAGACCAGACCTACCTGGCGACGCTACGCTACCGAGACGCTTCCACTCTCATCCGCATCCTTGATCCGCCATCCCATCCATCCTCGAACTCTTGATCGCGAACCCACCTTTACACCAGTGTCAACGCCCGCGAATGATCTGGTCGCGTTGGTCTCACTCTTCATCACACGTTTTCCAGTCTCGCGTGGTGTGATCATAAGCCTTCGCCGCCCTGTCATAATATCCGCCCTTCTCCCAGAATGTCGGCTCCAGCGGAATCCACCATGAGCGGTGGTAAAGCCGTACCAGAAGAGACCTCACGACTCGAACAGCCTAATGACGCTGTCGCCCTTGACAACATGAACGAGCCATCTCAACAGGCGCCTCTCGATCCCGCACGCGACACTGATAAGGCGGGCGACAACGCTGCTTCAAACGAGCCATCGTCGTCGACAGCCGCACCAACAACATCCGAGAACCCCGAGCAGTCAAACGCGGCAGCACCTCCCTCGCCAAAGGGCAAGGAAAAGGAGATGGCTCCTCCGCCACCTACAAAGCAGGACTCTAACTTGGGTATTGGACCTGCTGTCGACGACATCAAGGCTGTTGCTGGAGGCTCGTCTGATGGCCCTGTTTGCAACATTACTCTTCTCCTGACATCGGGAAGCCGACATCCTTACAAGATCGACGCCAAGTATTTGAACCGGAGGAATGTGGATATTCCAGACCAGACGGAGAGTGGACAACCGGATCCTTTCAGCATCAGCATCTACACCCTCAAGGAGTTGATACTTCGTGAATGGCGAAATGATTGGGAAGCCAAACCTGCCAGTCCCAGCAGCATCAGACTTATCCATTTTGGAAAACTATTAGATGATAAGGAGCAGTTGAAGAGTAAGATTCACCGCTGTTCATATCAATTCGCCAAGGAAATCTTTACTAACCGACTTGTAGAGTACCAGTTGAGCACGGAGAGCCCCAATGTGATACATATGAGCATTCGGCCACAGGATCTTGATGAGGAAGAACCCAAGGCTGGAAACAAGAATCTCTCGTCAGGGGGCGCTGACGGGCAGCGATCTCGAGGGTCAGGCTGCTGTGTGGTATTATAGGCGACATCCACGATGGGTTGAAGCGATTCCTGAGCAAAACAAACTCGGCCTCCGTATCCGTCAAGGGGCTCACTACAAAATGGGCTAGAATCTATCGACAGCTGCGAGTTGAGCTGTCTGCAACAATCGACGAGCCCAGCCCCTGACTGTCCAAACAGTAGGGTGTCGCACGTACATTCATTAGTGTTTTCTTGGTCTATTGTCTCTGGGAAGGAGAAGCGAATGATGGGTATGACGCGTGGAAGACGGGGACATCGGAGTCTACATTGGCGTATCATTGTGTATATTCAATGTTTGCGTGTTTCTTTTTTTTTTTCGTTTGTTTTTCACCAGCGCTTTGCTGACAGGATTGTCAATGCCTTGCGCATATCTAGCAGGATAGATGGCACTCATATTGCTGAATTCATATTATTTCATCCCTGCACACCTCAGGCGAGCTGGCCTGTTTAGCTCTTGAGGGTCGACCATCTTGGTCTTCTATAAAGCATATTGAGCCGTGATGTAGAATATCATGACATGGTTGCTCGGCTGGTGAACTGCGGTGTATGTTTACTGAATCTTGAGCTTCTTCTCCATCTCGTCGTGGAAACCAGCAACACCCCTCGTCTCATCACCAGTATAGATATCCTCCCAGGTAATCATGTCGTCGCGACCCTTGAGGATATCCTCGTGGACACTAGGCAGACCTCCACCGAGAGCCATGGGTCGCCACTCGCCGTTGCGGACAATCTTGAGCTCCATGCCACGACGGATAGGCTCGGCCATGCCAAAGGAGCGGCGGAGGGTCTCCATGCGGAGAGACTCCTGGGTAGCCTCCCAGTTCTTGAGGCGGGCCTCGAGGGGGTGCGCAGACACGGGGACAGACGACTTGGCCTCGTAGGGAGAGACGCCGACACCGTGGCGGAGGGTGTCGTGGATGCCAGGGGCAGAGGGCGCAGACGAGGTGTGCGTCGTGTGGGTGAAGGTCTGGGGGTTGTTGTTTCCGGGGACGATGCGCATTGACTGAGACTGGCAGGGAGGGTTTGTTAGCTTGATGTTATCGCAGAGGATGGGATAGGTGGTGTTTGATGCTTACCATCTTGGCGGTTTGTGACTGAGACGGAGAGAGAGAAGAGTGTTGCTAAGTACGAGATGCGTGTTTTGGTTTGGTGGTATCCTCGAAATGGGTGTTGTGAGGTTATTCGTGGGAGGAAATGCAGGCGACGTTGATGGGAGGTTTGGCTGGTTGTGTGTGGTTGATGATGAAAGCTCCAGCTGCCTTGAGCAGCCTTGCGCTGGCGTTGCCGCACCTAGAGGTACGTACCGCCGAACCCCGGCTACCGTACCTAGGTTTCCCATTCATGATGGAGACGGGACCCACGCAGGCATCGTCACTCAGTGACTTACCTAAGGTGAAAGAGTTCCGACTTCGCTCAGTTGACTTGAATACAAGAATGAAACTTGTACTTTCTGTAGGAACTCAATTCACATCATGAGACCTCTTCCGACACGTCCCCCAATTATAAGGATCGCCAATGGCACCTTTTACCGACACCATCCCAACGTGGCATCCTCACGTCCCAACCCGCCGCTCTTTAGCGACTTGACCTTTGAGCTCGCTTCAGCGTCATCCAAGCCTCGAAACTGGTGCATCGTGGGACCTTCATTGTCGGGAAAGACAACTTTCCTACAGGCGCTGAGGGGGGGGTTTCTCTGCGATCCTCCTGCTGCCCGGTCTTATCCGTACCTGTCTACAGACGCTGTGCCGAACAGGTTGCGGACACCGCAAAAGGCTATTCAGTATGTGGGCTTTGATGCTGAGCAGGGTGGAGGGAGTTTGGGTGGAAATGTTGCTACGAGTGCGTATCTGTCGGCGAGATATGAGTCGAGACGTGAGATTACCGATTTTTCACTCAGAGACTTTTTGCTGGGCAATACGGAGTTGAATCCTATGAAGGAAAACCTGGACGACGATGCTAGCATTTCGCAGGATCTTCTTGCTAGAGTTGTCAAAGATCTCAAGCTTGATCATCTCCTCGACCTGCCTGTTTCGTTCCTCAGCAACGGACAAGGTCGAAGGGCTCGTATCGCTCGTGCCCTTCTCACAAAGCCAGAGGTGCTGCTCCTCGATGAGCCCTTCATGGGACTCGACCCCCCTACGGTCACAGGCTTGAGTCCCTTGCTTCAATCGCTAGCTGAAAAGGCAAGCCCCCGGTTAGTACTCAGCGCGCGACCGCAGGATCCGGTGCCCGAATGGGTAACGGACTTGGTGTACCTGAGGACAGACTGCCAGGTGGGCTCGATGGGACCCAAGGAAGAGGTCCTTGATGGTCTCAAGAAGTACATTCAGGGAGTGAGAAAGGGTGGGCTCGTCGAGGACGAAAAGTTGCCACTTCACTCTCTTGTTGATATTGGACGTGTTCTACCTTCGAGCGCATCAACTGAGGGATCGGGTCACTTGGAGCACGCATCTTACAAGGAACTTGAGCCTGTGAACCCCAATGCTGAGCCGTTAGTGGAGATGGACGGGTGCAGAGTTCAATACCAAGGAAAGGTTGCGTTGGGCAACTGGACTCAGCAGACTACCGACGGCTCCAAGGATGGATTGATATGGACAGTTCGACGGGGTGAGCGCTGGGGAGTCTTTGGACCCAATGGATCGGGAAAGACGACTATCGTCTCCCTGCTCTGCTCAGACCATCCCCAGTCTTACTCCCTTCCCATCAAACTGTTTGGAGGATCTCGTCTTCCAGAGCCAGGCTCTGGTAAAAGGCCACTCACCTTTTGGGATATCCAGTCTCGGATCGGACACTCTAGCCCAGAAGTTCACCAGCACATGCCTCGTAACCTGACAGTTCGTCAGGTTATCGAAAACGCGTGGTCAGACACCTTTCGCGCAAAGCCAAAGCTGGATGATGCTGCCCGGGGAAAGGTTGAGGCTGCCCTTGAATGGTTTGCGCCAGAGTTAAATCCAAGCTACTCATCACCTTCGGGCGAGAAGTTCGCTTGGGCGGACGAGTATATGTTTGGTGGTCTCTCTTTCAGTGCGCAACGTGTAGCTCTCTTTATCCGCTCCATGATCAAGAGTCCAGATGTGGTGGTTCTCGACGAGGCTTTTAGTGGCATGGACGATGCGGTACGAGACAAGTGCACGCTATTCCTGGAAGAGGGCGAGGCCAAGACATACCGAGGTGAGGAGGTGATTGAGAGCGATGCCTTCAAGTCCGGTCAAGTCAAGATTCCGGGTCTTTCTGATAACCAGGCTCTCATTTGCATTGCTCACGTCAAGGAAGAGGTGCCCGACTGTGTGAGGGAGTGGCTATGTCTCCCAGAGGCCAACACAGGGCGAGCAGCGAGGTTTGGACGGCTGGATGGTCCGCTTAGGACTGATGAAGGGAGATGGCGTGAGGTTTGGGGATTCTAAAGAGCTATTGTTTGTGTAATCAATGCCATGGCAGAGATGGTCATGTAGAAACCAGAGGCACGTGAGCGCAAGTTGAGAGGTCAAGTGAAGGAAGGAGATACCAAGTAAAAATAAAAAGTAAAGGTGCTCCATTGATGATGATGCCATCTCACAATTGGCACAACACCTATTTTCACCATCTTTTTCCAAGAATCCATCTCATAATTCAACTCGCAACCGTTATTTCTCGGCAGATGGTGTAGCTAACGTTAGCAAGCCACATTCTGCGGCAATCGGTGCTAAGCATGGCACCATCCGACCGACGGCGCCCGACAGCCAGACTAGAAGGTCCCCGTCCTGTCTCAGAAGCTGTTTAACTCGGCCAACCAGATTGACATCACCACCACCACCCTCCTTCTCAATTCAACCTCACATGGTCATTCCATTTTGACAATTGTAGTCGCCGACTTCCTCTGAATCCAATCTCTTCCGCTCTCTTCTTCCAATTCACTTCTCTGTTTGTCTTTTTTTAACACACAATGGCATCCCGTCAGAGCGACGGCATCGACGATGAGGACCTTACGGTTCACGCGTGTTGCGCGCCTCTCGAAAACTTCACCCGACCTGTCAACGTTAATGAAATAAGGTGCGGCTATCGGGAAACCCATCGCCAAGAACAATTGACACTCATACTTTCACAGCGAAGAAGAGCGGAGACCCTTCTTCCACTGGCCGTACTTTGGACCTCTACTGGTTGAGAATGAGAGCAGTGATGCAAGAGATCACTGCGCAAACGAGAGAAGTGCGCATTTGGTTATTACTCTTTTACGCGACCAGAACTAACGCATCGCAGCTTTCCTCTCATATCTACGCCTCTCAATCTACATGGCCATCGTCTCGGTTGCCATCACCCTCTCCTTTCACCTCAAGACCGAGGCGACGCCGTTGGAGCTGCGCATGGCCAAACCCCTCGGCACCATCTTCTGGGCCCTGTCCGTCATGACCCTGTTTGCCGGCATGGGCAACTACATCAGTGAGTGGTCGCGACGATGGATCCGCACGCAGCAGCCTGCTGACAGGCCACACGCAGCAACTGTCAACAAGTATAGCCGTAGAGCGGCAATCGTTCAGATTGGTTGGAAGACGCATGCCGTGAGTTCCTTTCCCCTCATCAGATCGCAGAAGCACAGACCGACAGCTGAGCCCTGGTTGACTGACATCCTTGTATAGATATTCAGCATCACAGCTGTTGCCATTATAGGAACTTGCCTCATCCTGCTTGTCATTGCAAAGATTCGCAACTCAAGTTCATGATCCATGACATGAGATATCCAAAGTTGAAATTCCATTATATTCTAGCGCCAGAGTTCATCATGCAAAAAAAGCCTTCCGTAGTTGATGGTGAAGAAGGAAATGTCCATCCATATCCATGCCCTCCCAACCGGTAGATCCTATTACGCCTCATCCTTGACCAGCTTTTCCGCAGGCGCCGCCTCTGCTGGTGCTACCGCTACTGCTTGTGGTGCTTCAGCTGACCCTGGTGCTGCCTCGCTGGTTGATCCAGCCGTATTACAAAATAGATCACCTGCGTCCTTGTCACGCCGTGGCATTCCATAGTCATCCTCCTCATCTGACTCGCTCTCTGAGCATCCGCCGACTTCTTGGCGGAAAAGACGCGTGAGTGTCCTTGAACTTGATTCCATCTCGGCAAACGTCAATGTCTTGCCATCCCATGAAACAAGCGGCACGTCCTCCAACGCCGGTAGTTCTCCCTTTCCAGGCAGTGTAGCAAGCATGTTTATCTGAGATGTGGAATCAAAGGTGGAAGTAGCCTTGTCTGCTCTTCCCTTGCCCCCGTCTTCCTCTTCATCGCCCAAGTACTCCTCTGGGACGTTACTCAAGTCGCTGTGGGCTCCGAGGATGACGTTGGCCGTCTCCGGGCTGGGGTAGAGTGTCAAGTAGCCTCGGAGGCGTGATAGCTGAAGCACATACTCCAGCCATGCTGGGTGCTTCTTGGTGGTGTGCTTCTTGGCCAAAAAGGCTGGTGTGTCTGTCTTCGTTTGCTGCCTCTCCAGAATCCGCGACACGTAACCATGGAGCTCAACCCACTTGGCTCCCAAGATGAGAATGGCATCGCTGGTTGGTGCTTGCCAGAAGAAAGGGTTGTCGCTATCTGAGTCGTCGGTAGTCTTGGGGGCTGTTAGGGGGGTGGTGTCGTCAAGAAGAGTGTCGCGGGACTGGAGACTAATGCCCATGATATTATCAGTCCAGTCATGGAGAATAGAGGCGCGAGAGTAGAAGCTGTGCAGCATGGTGTATTTGACATCTGGTCGGCTTAGCTTCGTTCACGCAAATCCAAGGTCTCACTTACAGTGAAAGAATTGGGACGACACCTCAGTGTGAGGTGCCAACACAAGTACATGGTTATGTGAAGGGTTTCCCGGCCAGAATGATTCTAGGAATCTCACCGAGCTCTCCTCTTCATCAATCTGATGAGAGGGGATCCGATGGCGGAGTGAGATCATCTGCGACTGGGGCAGTTGACCCGATGATCTCAAGGGCCACTGGAAGCCAGACAAGAACTTTTCAAGAGGCTGCTCAACAACCGAGGGCAGCTCAATGGTAAGATGAGGAATAGATATGGGGCTCTTGTCCGCATTTCGAAGAGAAGTAAGAAGCCTTTGTAGGTTGGCTGTGCCAAGAGGGGGTGCTTGGATGAGGATATCAAAATGCACCTTGTTCCACGCTGAGACTAGTTAGCAATTTGGCAACTCAACTAGTTGAGGCTCTGCTCACCAGACAGGGACGAAGCGTCTAGCTTTGAGATCCAAGAGAAACGAGTCTCGGGCTTATCGGGGAGTTCTATGAGGGCCGACTTTGTGGCCATCACTTGATCTCGAATAGCGTGTAGGAAAAAGTCATCTTCAAGGTGTGAACCATCAACGATGATGGCCTGAGGGTGCATAAAGTTATTGATGTAAACTAGGGATCAGGCGAGTTAGACAAGATGAGGCTCAGAAGGGCAATGGGGCCGGTCTTACAAAACGAGCGGATAGTAGCGAGTTTCAACCTTGTCTCAGTAGACGTGGCAGCATGGTCGGTGCGGGCATCTACAGGCACGATTAGGAGGGTGTATTCGATGGTTCCTAGGGAGTCCATACCGTGAAGAAACAGCTTGCAGCTATCGTCGATGCCGTTGATCTGGAGCAGCTCCTTAAGCGGCACCTCACTACTGCCGGCGATAGCAAAGTGAACATGGTTCATGTCTTGCGCCGACATCTGACATGCCATGGGGAGCAGTGTAGAGACACTCTTGAGGTTAGAAGCAGCAAACAAGACATTCCTATTTCTCTCGTAGCTGCCTCCGGTTCCTTGGATATTGCGCAATGTCTTGGCCAGCTCTGGAAACCTGAGGGGTCCATTGTAGGCCTTATCCTGTCCTCCTTTGGCGCCTTGGCCCGGCACCGACTCGCGGTTTGTCGCAGGCTGTCTGCGGTCCGTCACACTGTTGGACGGTGATAATATTAGGTTGTAAACGACGTAGAATATGAGCGAGGCGAAGACGAAGTAGGCGACAAGGCGACCGAGGGCGCGACGACGGGGCGCACGTGTCGCTTGCCATTGAGGGAGTCTGGGGTTGTGTCCATGGATATGATGATCGTCGTCCTTTTTGGCCATTTCCTCGTCGCCAACCCAAAAGCGCGCCTTTGTTCTGCCGCGCGCAGGAGTCATGATGGCGGATTTCGTCGTTCGGGTCTGTTCGGGGGGTGGTCGTTTAGTCGATGGGTGCTGCTGATAGTGGAGGTGGGATGAGGAGAGCAGCTTTCGGGCGAGGAACTAGGGAGGAATGTCGATGGGAGACATTTACGCGGCAGGTCTCTTCATGGGCGGCGGATATTTACGACGAGGGAGGGAGTTAAAGGACAAAGTTGCTTTTAATGAAAGATTGAAGAAGGATGACGAAGCTGACCCTTGCTTAGAACCTAGTTAGCTGTTGGAGGTTGTATGGAACAGCGTGGCTCGTGCTTGGCATCCCGCAGTGTGGCTAACGCTTAGCTTAGCTTTCAGTGGCTTTAGGCTTGGGGGACCTGGAGATATGCTGTAAGATGGCAGTGTCTCAAGATAAAAGGCAGTGGCTGAGAGATATTTGTACATAATGTAGTCTTTTTTATCGTCAATTATAAATGATCATGTTCCTTAACTTGATACATGCACTACTCAAACTGAGGCGAGCCGAAATCGTTGTCTAAAGCCATAATGTAACCTTGTAAATACACTCAAGACGAGAGGTTCAGGGCCACTTGCCAAGGCGAGGGTGATTCTGAGACTTGAGCAGGGAGAAGTAGATAAAGCAGGGTCAGACAATGGCATACCTAAACACGGATACGCGGCAATCGCACAAAGAATTGTTCAAGACGTTAACTCTTTCAAGAGGTTATTCCCAGCCAAAGTAATTAATCAGAGTGATAATGAGAAGTTAGTAATAGCAGCATGTATGTACTCTGTCGTAGTGTTAGCAACGGCGAAACAAATATTTTGGTGGGGCACGAATCGTCGTCGCAAAACATCCTTGTAAATTTTCATCCACCATCAAATTATTCACGATTCAACAAGAAACAACAACTCCATCTTGTCCCCTTCCTTTGAAACAAACTCTCTCTCTCTCTCCCTCTCTAACCTGATAAGACTATTCTTCTCCCATGGCAAAGTCCCGCAGAAATCGCGGCAACGCCGCTCGCAAAAACCCCATAGAAAAAACCATCAAGCCTCCCTCAGACCCAGAGCTCGCCGCCCTCAGAGAGTCCAAGATCCTACCCGTCATCAACGACCTCAAGAGCTCGGACCCCAAGTCGCGCTCCGCCGCTGCTACCGCCGTCTCGAGCATCATTCAGGATGAGAGGTGTCGCAAGCTGCTCCTGCGCGAGCAGATCGTCAAGACCATCCTCGATCAGACCCTCACTGACGCTGCTCTCGAGAGCCGTGCTGCTGGGTGGGGGATCTTGCAGGTTCTTGCTCAGGAGGAGGAGCCTGATTTCTGTGTTCATCTTTATCGGGTTGATATTCTCACTGCTATCGAGTTTGCGGCCAAGTCGGTAAGTCAATGTTTCAGCCCTCATCAAGTACATATCAAACTCACATGAACCAGGTTACCGAGCTGCTGCTGTCCAAGGAGCTGGAGTTCCAGAAGCGTTCCAAGGCTGAGCAAGCAGTCATTCTCAGCATTGCTTCGTCACTCATCTCTCTTCTAACCGCTCTCGCCGAAGCTCAAGATGACATCTTGGAAGCCATCTCTCGCAACACCATCATCACTCGCCTTCTCTTCCTCCTCACATCTGATGAGCTCGCCAGCAACCCAGAGATCGTTTCACTAAGGAGCGATGCTCTGGCCTGTCTCATGATTCTCTGTGAGGACAACCAGCAGCTTTCTGACAAGGTTGTCGCTTCCAAGGAGCACCGCACATACGGCACCCTTCTATCTCTGAGGAAAAAGGCCAACAGTGACGGCATTCTTGCCTGTGGTGTCCTTCATAACCTCTTTACCGCTCTTGATGGCCAAGACCTGGCTCTTGGTGCCGATGATTCTCTTCTTATTCCCACTCTCTCACAGGCCATCAAGACCTATGAGCCAGGTCAAACCTCGGACGCTCTCGGCTGGGCGAACCCCATCGAGTGTCAACAGCTGGCCCTCGAGATTCTCGCCTCCATTGGAACAACCCTCAACACATCAGGAGATGTTGATGGACCCCCCAAGGCTGAAAAGAAGGAATCCAAGGATGACGAGGAGATGGGTGATGCCGATGGGGCCTCTGATGGAGAGGAAATGGCAGACGATGACGATGAGATGGACGAGGACGAACTGGAAGCCGACATGGAGATGGTAACAGGCGCTGACCGAGACGAGGAAGACGGCAACATCGACGATCTCCCTGTTCTCAAGGTTCTCATCGATACAGCCATCCCCGAGCTCATCCGTATAGCCTCCCTCTCCCCCTCGGATGACACAGCCCTCCGCCTCCAGTCCCATGCCCTCGCCGCCCTGAGCAACATCGCCTGGTCCGTCTCACTCATCGATTTCTCGGACCCGCACAACGCTCCCATCCAGGCCGCTTGGGACCCTGCTGGCCGCGCCCTCTGGACCGGCGTCGTCGCCCCTATTCTCGCCACTGACACTGCCGATGTCGGTCTGGCGACACATGTTACCGGCCTCGCATGGGCAGTCGCCCGCTCTCTCCGCGGCCGACCCTCAACCCCTTTCGCTGATGAGCACCGCCGCTTCATCGCCCTCTACCAGGCCACCAAGGGTTCCCCCGCCGCCCAGGACCCCGAGGATCCCTTCCAGGCCCTGAGCGTAAAGTGCATTGGCGTCCTCGGCCAGCTAGCCCTCGAGCCCGCTCCCCTCGGCCGAAACCGCGATGTCGGCACCTTTCTCATCACCCTCCTCGCCGGTCTACCCGCCACGCCGGCCGCCGACGCCGTCGAGGCTCTCAACCAGGTCTTTGACATCTACGCCGACGAGGGCTACTCATACGACAAGGACGTCTTCTGGAAGGACAACTTTGTCAAGCACCTCGATGAGGTTCTCCCCAAGGCGCGCGCCATGGTCAAGACCATCGACAAGCGTGCCAATGGCGAGCTGCGCCTGCGTGCGGATGAGGCTGTGCTCAACTTGAATCGTTTCTTGGCGTACAAGCGGAAGAACAAGCCCGAGGCCTAGGTTTAAATAAAAGTTGTTGAGTTTTTAATGTGATGAGAATATGAATCTTGGTATATACCGCAAGCAAAGCTCTTTAAACTCATAATGTAACCCCGAAGTGAACTAGGAGACGCCCATGTGCCCTTGTAGCTTACGCTTCCATCTACTTTGTCCTTGAAGTTGATCCCAATAATCAGCACCTTCTCCCATTTTCGACAGTGCCAACATATTGAACCTCTTAACCGCATGCGATAGGCTCGATCCGGCCTCTAGATACTCCCATGTCTCTTAGCACCGTTCAAACACCCGGTATAAACCCTTCAAACTTGCAACCTCCAGCACTCCGTCTTGCATGAGTGATTTGGTCGCCACTAGTCTCGCCTTGAACGCCGGAAAGAAAACGTGTTGTACGGCGTGCCTCACGTGCTGCCGTCGAGCACGCAAATCCTCGTCAATTTCCTCCTCGCGAAGGCTTTCTGGATCGCCCGGCAGTGCTGGCAACGATTCCGGGACGTAGAAAGTGGCCAACTCACGCAGAAAGGTTTCAAAACACGCCTTCTCCTCGGTCCAATCGACAGCAGGGCCAAGACGGAGGAGGAAGCGAGGGAGTTTGACCAGGGGTGGGGTATATCCCTTCATGAGAAGCGGCAGCGAGATGAGTTCGCCAGCAGGGGAGATCTCAAAAGAAAAGTACTCGAGCAGCATTTCTCGACGCTCAATGAGCTGACCTACCACTCGGTCGACCAAGGTTTCAACGTCAAAGTCCTCATCAGGGGAAGCAATGGCATTCTTCTCCGCCTCAGCTGCTATTCGAAGAAGCTCGCGGAGATCCAGCGCAGGGCCGAATCTGATGGTGCCAAAGTTACCAAAGTCTGTCAAGCCAAGCTGATAAAAGTATTCAAAACATGTCCGGCCGTAGTCGATCAGATATAACTTGACGTCTCCTTGGATCGCCGCGAGCCGACGTTGATCGTCAACGATACCAACAAAGGTATGAGAGGAGAATATCTCTGTCAGCTCATTATGCATGTCTTCTCTGACATCGTGCCTCAACTGCTTTATGCTGTTGAGTCGGCATTGGACCGTCTCTCGATCCACCGTCTCATATTCCAGAGCTTCGGGTGCCGCAGATGCATCTCCTGCATGATCGTTTGACGCCGTGGACTCGCTCGGGCCAGCCCTAACAAACATGGATGTAATCTTCCGTTCCGCAGTATCAGTTCTAACCAGGTCATTCGAGTTTCTTCTAACTCTTTTCGTTGCCGGTGTTCTTCGGCTAGGAGTCCCGTCGGACTCGGTCTGCGTTGATTCAACAGGCTTTGCGCCGGGAAGGAGAGTCTGCGTCATAAAGGTTCGGCTAGTATCGACAGCAGCCAGCTTCGATTCGATATGCTCGCAGATGGCCTGGATGATCTCATCTTCATTGAGGAAGTGGACTTCCTTCTTGGTGGGATGGACATTGACGTCTACTCGAGCCGGGTCGATCTCGAGGCTCAGGTAGATGAACGGGTGACCATTCTTGGGCAAGAAATTGCTATACGTCTGCTCCACCGCCTTCTTGATATGCGTTGATTCGACACATCGATGATTGATAAAGAGGAGCAGCGTCGTCTTCTTGACAGAATAGTTTGCATTGGTCGTGTAGCCCTCGGCCTTGAAACCCCAGCGGTCTTCTGAAGTCGCAAACGCCAGAAGCTCATTCGCAACACTGCTGCCGTGAATCTGGCGAATGCGATCAATGACGGTGGCGTGGGCCTGTACTGACAAACTGGTCGATGCCTCGCCTGCCTTTTTGCAGGTGAAGCCGACTCCTTTGCAGTGCACTGCGTATCGACCAACCATATCAATAATCTTGTTGAACTCGTCAGCAGTAGAGCGAAAGGCCCTTCTACGGGTGGGCACATTGTAGAACAGATCTTCAACTGTGATTTGAGTGCCCGGACGTCCCGCCACACCTCTTGGCTCGGCTGACTGACCAGGTTTTGGGGCAGTCAGTCTGCCGTCGAGGTAGTGAGCCCGCCAGGCGAGGTCAGAGTCC